ACTGTGCCTGCTGCTGATCAGCCTTTGCTGGAGGGCACTGTGCCTGACGCAGGGCCTTTACTGGAGGGCACTGTGCCTGCTCCTGATCAGCTTTTGCTGGAGGGCACTGTGTCTGCTGCTGATGAACAGAAGGGGGCAGTGCCTGACCCCAACCAGCTGCCGGGTCAAGGGCCGAGCGCAAGTTGTCTAAGACGAAGTCGAGCGGTCATAATATTGATGATGATACTTCTTTGCGTGAACTTCTTAGTCTTGAAGAGCCTGATTGGCATGCTTCATCATCATCACCTCAAAGACCCGCTCCAAAACTCAGCAGCGAGGCTCCCGAGCTGAAGGAAGCAAGGCCAAAGACTGAAGCAACAACAGTGGCCCCCAGCAACCGTGGGCCAATTCAATCAAGGAAAGGAGTCATTCCATGGGAGACAGTGAAATGTGAGAAATGTTGCAAAAATGTTGGTCAGTTCAAAGAGGATCCAAGCCCTGGTTCCCGACACAAAGCAACGTACTATTACAGGGCCCACGCCAACGAAGTTGGAGGCGCCTTGGCTTCACAAGCAAGTTGTCTTTGAGGTACTGAGGCGTTTCTCTATTTCATCGATTGTCTTATGAATATGGTTTCATAATGAGTTCAGGTGACTGGGCAACACGCGCGCCCTACAAGGGACTGGATCTGCATACACAAGAAATGTGGCTGCAAGTGGAATAAGGTATGCGCTGAGCTGCTGCACTGCGCTTAAAGATTCGCCTTTGATTTATCATTTTGCAAGGCACACGTTTTGATGGTATTTTGATCTTAGCAGTCAAGTTGAGCGTTCAAACTTGTCCTTAGTATGTGTTGAGCTGCTGCGCTGATTCACATTTGATTTATCCTTTTGCAAGGTGTACGTTTTGTTGGTAATTTGATCTTAGCAGCCAAGTTGAGCGTTCAAACTTGTTCAATCAAACGTGCCGTTTATGATGGACGCCATGGCAATCATGGTGACATTTAGTGTGGCTTTTGCAATCATCATGGTGGTGATTCACTTCTTCAATTCCTGTTCCACCAACATCGTTTACAATGAAGGTTTATTTGATGAACCGAGTGCTGTTGGCAAAGTGCAGTTGTCTGATGATGATGACTCTGACTCTAAAAGCTACATTTCTTGGAATTCCGATGATTTCGATATGTCATCATCACATTGAGGCACTGAGTCAAGCCCTGGCATTGAAAGAGTCTGGGCGGTCAGTCGCCAGCGGCGCCAATTGCGTCAATTGCGCGCTCTTCAAAGTATTGATAGACAAGCCTATAGCATGATCTTTGAAGCAATGAATCAGAGTCGAGGCTGAAGGGCACTGTGCCAAACTCTTCATCTGGATGTCAGATTAGCAGACTTGTTTTTTATGACGGAGACTGGGCACAAGTTCCATGTCTGCTTTGTTGAATTGATTCTGATTCAGGTTGTTCACAGTTGTTGGGCAAGTTGGCATTAAAAAAATGTGTTTGCGACCTGTGATAGTCCTTGATAGTTTCAGTCATGTTTTGATTGCTATGATTCCATGTCATGGGACTCAGACTTGCAGCACAGTAAACTGAATAGCAGTGCACTTCGTTCGTGCCAGCCAGGTGAACCATCATGAAGATCAACCATGGATGACCGTGACTTGTTTGATGAGGCTGATGCTGATTGAGCTGAATGTCTTGTCACGTATTGTTCAATTTTAACCTAGACCAAAAATGGCGCCACCGAGTTTGATGTTGCTTGCAAGGGTTGGAATCCCTGCCAGCACAGTGCTCTTCAGCCAAAACCTGTCTAGTTAAAGTTTCAATAAACTTACTTTCAACACAGTGCCCTTCGGCAAAAACTTGACTAGATTCAAACATCTTATTACAGTAACATACAGTAACAATCCCTGCCAGCACAGTGTTCAGAAAAAAGTTTACGTACTTATTAGCTACTATTCAATGATCTTACAATCTCTGCCAGCACAGTTAAAGCTTGACTACTTTCAAAAATACGTTTCAATGCCTCGAGCCAATACTTGACTAGTTGCAAAAAACCTTACTTTGTCACAACCCCTGACAGCACAGAGCTCTTCAGCCAAAACTTACTAGTTTCAAAAACTTTCAACGAGGCCAGGAGCGATGATCGTAAAGGAACCGTTTGTCCTTGGTACTTCTTTCATTGTATGTTATAAGTTGACTTGTCGCTAGACTTGTCAACTTATCGTAAAAGGCTATGTTGAATTTTCATTTTGTCTGCAAATTCACTGCAACTTCACTCGTGGCTCCACTCGTGGACTTACTCGTGAAAACACTTTTGGTTCACTCCTATTTTTACTCGTTGGTGAATTTTATTCAAAATCATGTCTAATCATATTTGTGTCATTTTTACTCTTACTTAAATAGTTCTATTCAATCATTCTAAATCTTGTTTGTGACAATTTTATGCTTAAACAATGATTCACTATGATCAAAACAATTTCAAAAATGCAAAAAAGGGACTAGCCAGAGTGACCTCAAAGGGTGCCCATCTGGAGGGTCAACTTTGATTTGCTGATTTTGCAAAGGCTCCCCCATTCCTGGAGTCCTGGAGCATGCCCAGCGCGTTCAGGTGGACTTCAATGATGCTCCAGCCGCGCCCATTGCCACAGTGAGGCGCAACGCTCCTGTTGGTCTTTGACTTTTTGGAGCTGGTGTTCAAGCCACCCCTCCATGTAGTCGCTCGCTGCTGATGAACCCCTTACGATTCCACTCCACGAAGACCTTGTTCAACCCGCCGCCTGGGCCACATTCCTTACCAGCCACGGCCGTGAAGGTGAAGTTCTGCATCTCCTCGGTCGTGACCTGACTAGATGATGTCGTCGTTCAGGTAAGTCCTGTCCTCTGATGTTCAGCCTGTTCAGGAGGTGTTGGATCGTTCCGTCTTCTGGGTTCAGCAGGCGGTTCCATGGACGGTAGTGGGTGTTTTCGGACACGGTGTTCTCTCCACAGGCTCTCGAAGCAGCCTTCCCACTAAAGAGCTTCCCTTGCTGGCGTAGTTCATCATTCTGCCTGCAGTTCTGCAACTGCCTGGATTTTCCAACTCTCGCTGTAGGTCATGCATGGTCCACTGTAGGTTTTCCTCGGCGCCCCTGATCGGGTTTATGCGTTCCCCATGAAGTCTTTGTACTCTTCGAGCTTCCGATCTTCCACTTCTTCTGGTCGCTCCCTCTTCTAGCGCCCCACAATGCCCCCCATCCAACTCGACGGCGGCGTAGGCCGTTCAAGCTCACTGGCGGTCCAGGGTTGATCTTGAATCCCTTTGCTCATGCGCTGGCTCTTCAGCATCTAGGTTCAGGGCTTCCGGCAGTAGTTGTTCTTCCGAGTCTACTCCGAGGATGCCCTCACGAACTACCGGAAAGATATGCGTCCATCAGGGCCACTCTTTCCGCAACATCCAGCCAGCTACCTGATCTCGTCATGGTCTTTGACCTACTACGCGAGCCACGTTGGGCTCATAACCTGCGATGAACGCCTGCGTACAGCAGTGAACATGGTCTCACGTTCATGAATGGATTCTCTGTCGAAACATGAATTGCTTCTAGCGATTTCAAATCGGCTTGGCCAAGCGCTTGGCGGCGATGTATGTTGGAGGGTCTATCTTTCTGTCGCAGTGGATCCATAGAGTACCCATGAGAATGAGGACGGGAAGTAGGAAGCCTGAAGCCCTTGTAAGCCCAAACGCTTTTGTCTGTCCAGGGGGAGGGATGAGCGACAAGAGACAACTAAATACTGACTCTCAACCTTACCTTGCTCGGTCCCCACTCGCTTGCTTGCGCAAATATTTCTCATCAACAATCCCCCACTTCATTGTTCCTTTTTGGAGGCCCTGTCCTGGCAAGGAAGATGTTGATAGGCTTGTCCCCATTATATAGTACACAGTTATCTTGCGCTGCAAGTTGTGAACACTTTGGGAGACCACTCACTTCACAAACGACATCACGCCGACGCGGAAGAACAAATGGGTTTCTATTAGCCCGCGCAAGAAGCGTTTTATGCTTTTGCCACACCCCTCCAGCGTCCGGTCTTGTATTTTGAACGTGGCAAAGCCAAACCAAAGTGGAGCGCAAACGACTTCCAAGTAGCCATTGCTCGCGCATTTGGGCTGAGCGCTGGGGCTTGCTCGCTGCCTCTTTTGGTGGTGCGAGCCTGGCCCTCGACACAACATTCACTGAGATCCGTCGCCAATAAAACTTGACAAACAAAAATGCCAAAATCGCAAACATATTTATTTATGCCTTGAGCGCACCTCATCAGGATCCTCCGTTGGAAGACGCATCCCAATCCTCCTGGCTGTCTCAGTTTTCAATTTGACTTGTTGTTTGACGCTATCCGAACAAAGACAGACAGGTCACAAGAACTCAGAAACCCTCCTGGCGCAACCCCCCCGATGCAAGCTTGAACCAAGAGACAGACGGGTTGCTGCACTGATGGTTGGAGACCCTTGCCTTCAAATTGGAAGTTTTGCAGTATGCCTGAGGAAGCCATACCGTGGGAGGTGGCAGGGGCACACAATTGAAACAGGAAGACCATATCTACAGTAAGTCTCAAATGACAGGAATTGAATTGAAGCAGCCGCAGCGAGTTTGGAATGAAATGAGCGGCGATTCGACTGATTCGTTTAGACGCGGAAGCGAAACCAATTGAATTAAAAGCTGTGGTTCATTTCATTTATGAGACAGCACCCTGGTTCAAAAAAGAACCTGGAGACCACCTCGAAGCGGAAAGAACTTGAAGACACCAAACGTTGCGGAGTTGCAAAGCTACCCTGTCAGAACAAAACCTTTTGGACACCTCACAAGATACAACGTAGCTCCTTCTTTCCCAGATAATTGAAACCTATAGGGGCCCTTACTTCTCAATGGCTTGGTGCCTCTATTCCCTTTTTTTGGCTTACAGCTGCCACTTCCGCCTTGACTTATCTGCCTGTGTGATCGCCGTCATGGTTTGCCACTGCTGCGCCGCTGCCTTTTCTCCCCACTGGTCTCCTTATGTGTCTCCCCGCTTATTGTGCCACTGCTGGCTCGTCTTGCTGCAAGTTTTTCCACGAAGGGCAACTGGCATCTAGCAAAAACACGAAAAACAACAAGACGTTACCACGTCTGCTGACCCAATAGTTCTCACCTTTTTGCTGGATATCTCTGGCTCAGCCCTCGCCAGCCTTGAGCCGGCGCACCTTTCAAGCTGGAACTTGCGAACATCAGCTGTGAGCGAATAGCAACTTCAGCTTCCACTCACAAGCCACGGTGGCCCAAACTTTTCTTCCATCACATCCAGTTCCAAATCAGACAAGCTGCCTTGCAGGCTGAACAAGCGACCCGCAGCGCGATCAAAAAGAGCATTGAGAAACACTTGTCCGACGCGACGCTAACTCAAAAAGTTGCGTTGTAATCGAAGCTTCAAACACTTATTGCAAACATGGTGCTCCAAAAGCTTTCACGCTGCGCCAGCTGTGACGCTTTGAGTTCTTTGGTTTTTCGCCGCTTCTCCTCCACAGTGGACCAAGCATCGGAAGGGTGAGACATATGTGACACGAGCGCTTGTCTCCGAAATCAAGCTTGGAATTGTCGGACACGTTGCAAGTAAGCCAGCTCTCCCCGTTCAAAAACTGGCCTAGAAATCTCTAACTCCCCTGCGCCCTCTTTAGACGCGATCTCTGAAGCTCACTAAGCGAGCCTCTACTTAAAGGCTTACGCCTGACAGCCGGGCGCCGGCCCCGGGAGGGAGGAGACAAAAAGGAAGGGAACACTCTCAGACAACCTCAGAGAAAGCTGGAGGGGCAGCCGCCCGAGCTCTGGATCTGCGGGCGCGTGTTTGTAGACCAGTTGTTTATAGGACAGCAAGTGGCAAGCAAGTGTGCGGTGATGGGGCTGGAATGTGGGGTTCATTCAGCACAGCCGGCATTCGCATTTCACCTCACGTTTGAGCACTTGACGCCCACGATCTCCGCAGAGGGGCGCCTCAAGCCCAACCAGAATTCGCATTTCACCATGCGTTTGAGCGCCCGAGGCGCGCGATCTCCGCAGAGGGTCACGTCTTGCAAGCTCTGTCTGGCCAGGCCCCCGGCTAAGAAAGAAGTAAGAGATATATAGCCGAGATTAATCACGCGCGCGCGAACAAACATATATTCTATTTTGTGTTGCGACATATGTGACATATGTTTACTTGTATACAGTATATGTGTTTACTGAAGCAATTGAGCCGAGTGCATGTTCGGCTGATCTGGCGAGAAGAGGGGACCGTCTTGAGCCCAGGTTGGGCCTATGGGCACGTTGGTCAAGGTTACGCCCAGCATTGACTCCATGTTGGGCCGGGGTTGCGCCCTTGGAACTGGGGAGAGCGTCGGCAGAGGCCCTTGCGCAAAAATTGGCCGATGTGATGCAGCTGGACCAACAGATAGTTTCAAGATGGATATGGCCTCGCAAAAAGATCGACAATCCAGAAAACACCGTAAAACACATAGTTTTCGGACACGTCGAGTCCATGCTCTTTCTCTTTCGGTAGAAGAAAAAGAGACGGAGAGCGAGCAGAAGAACAAAATGCCTCAATGCAAGGCCACTCGCGCAGTAAATATCGCGCCGTGGGCCTTTCAAAACGACCTCACATCCATCACCATCTCGCCGGCAATCGCGGCGAAAAAGGTCCAAACATCGGAGGGCCGCAAAACACCGTAAAATACAACAAGTTCCATGGGCTGGGAGTCGGCCGTGGGGCCGTGTCCGCTTACCGAAGGTAACAATAACGCTCGCGCCCGCTGCCGCCGACCCACCTCCGACGCACTGAAGCCCCTGTAATTTACAGTGTATCGTGGTTGTCCGCTCATTGTTCGTTCTTCGTCGTGGAACCCACGCGGTGCGAGAAAAGCTGCCCGAGCGGACGCGCACTATCGAAAACCATGTTTTCTTGGTTGCGGAGAGAAGCATTTGGATTGAACATATGTGAAAACTGTGTGCTTTACGGTGTTTCGGGGTTGGGTGGAGACAATTGACCGGCGCAGGCTCCGAAACCCATGTGGATAGGGGAGTCAAAAGGAACATTTGACAACAATATGCAACAATGTAAAGAACAGACAAAATATTTCGACGCGTGCAAGGAATGCTGTTATGAAAGGGGGGAGTGTTCAAGTATTGGCGCCGCGACCACGGAAGATGCGTAGTTTATACATAATCGCCAGCGCCAAAATCTACGCGCGCAAAAGTGGAGCTCCATATGTTGGCATCGCTTTTGGTTGTTCGCTATATCGCTTTGAATGTTCGGACGCCAGTGTTTTTCTACACGTGGGTATGGGCAGAGGCGAAGTCAAAAGAAAAAGAAAGAGAGAGAGATGTTAAGAGACAAGCTTTTTCACAATAGCTTACTTACTCCATCATAGTGTTCATGTACAATTGCATGGCGCTGTACAATGCACCTTGGATCGAGGCCTTGAGCCTAAGGACAGTTGCCAACAGGAAAACAATACAGAGACGTGCACAAACAAACGACAAACAAACAGCTGCTGAATTTTACATGGTAGCGGAGCAAGGATCCTGGTAACAACAATCCAGGTGAGCTCCAATACAACAACAGGAACAAGCCCACAAACACATACAACGGAGAGCAAGCCTTGACCCTACAACAGGTAGCTTGCACAGCTGCAACAATGGCAGCACAACCAGCAGCAGCTCAAGCTGGAGATGGCCTACCTCCAGTTCCAGAAGACGAGACAATCACCAACATGGCAAACATGAACAGATACAAACTCAAACCACCTTTCTTCAATGGAGACAATGGAAGTACAAGTTCACAGCATACATGGGATTGCAAGACAATGATCACACAGAACTACTACAAGCAGCAGAACGAGGCACAGCAGAACTCACAGAGCTACAATTACGAGCAGCGGCATCAACAATCGAAGACGGTGAACGACATGTTCGCCTCAGCACTGATTTGAGGTACATCCTCATCAACACAACAACTGGAGCAGCAGCTACAGTATGCAGACAATACCAACACACAATTGGCTTCGAGATGTACCGACAACTGTGCATCCGCTTCTCCATCCCATTGGGGACAAGATCCATAGGACACTTGACAAGATTGTTGAAACCAACATTTGACAAGAACAACTTCGAAGAATCATTTTCCGCATGGGAGTTCGAACTACAAAGATTTGAGCGAGACAATGGACAGACACTCACAGACTCAGTGAAGATTGCCGTATTGCTCAACGAGACAAGTGGACCACTACAACAACACCTACAACTGCTTTCAGGACAAAGCCCAAACTATGCGCGAGTCAAACAAACAATCATCGAGTACTACAGATCAACAACAGCATTCAGCAAACTACAACAATTACGATCACAATCATCCAGTGTAGCAACAAGCTTTGGTGGAGGACAAGCACCCATGGACATTGATGCAATCCACAAAGGAAAAGGCAAGTACAGCAGTTACAAAGGGAAAGGAAAAGGAAAGAACAAAGGCAAAGGCTACGGAGGATACAACGGCTACGGATACAACAGTTACAACATGAACCACAAAGGAAAAGGAAAGTATGGAGGAAAAGGATTTAACAACTACAACAATAGTCCGATCGGCTTTGGCAATCCATTCGGAAGAGGCAACAAAGAATGCACATTTGCATACTTTGGGATTGAATGATCACTCTAAACAACAGCAATACCTGTGCATCCAATAACCATATTGTAGGCATGTTGCAGTTGGTGTGCTTTCCACATTCAATCCCTGAGCAAGGCCTGGCATGGATATAGCTCTTGGAGCTGCTGCCACATATGAGAGGTGAAAAAGAGCAATGTGCTATAAGATGAGCTATAGCAAACATGTGGCAAGATTCATATATACAAACATGTTTTTACATGCTTATGTGTTGGTAGCTAGAGTTTAGCTGACTTTGAAGCTTCAAGCTTTCAGTTCATAGTGCAGCTATTGAGTTCTTACAAGCTTTCAAGCTGATTGCTGATTTGTGCTGGTGCAATGGAAGCCCTAGCCAGAGATCTGAACCTGCTTCCTTTGGTGGGTATGCTTAATGTGAGCAACATTGCCATGGACCACTGGGCTGAGAATGACCCTGTCACTCACAAGTGGATGTATGTGTGGTATGAGACAGATGGGAGGCAAACCCTTTGGGTTGTGAGGGTGCGCAGAGGTGGCTATCGCATTTGGAACCTTGTTATGTTAAGAATACTGTTGTTGTGTTTATGAGGCCCATATGTATATATTTACCAGGTGGTCTATATATTGTTGATGTGTCACTGGGAGCTTTCCATATTATGTGCTCCATCCAAGGACAGAAGCAGATGCCTTTCTGATGCAAACTGCTGTGCTGTGGAACTTAACACTTCCACAAATGAATAGTTTGATTGATTTGGTGTACAGCTTGTGGCAAGTAGAAAGGCCTTAGGATCATGGAGCTTTCTGCCCTGCCAAAAAAGGAATATGCAAATGCGAGCAGTTCAAGCTGTTAGGGCATTTAAGCTTAACAGTGGTAGATTAGCAACCCTTGCTGTGAGAGATGCATCTATATATGTCTAGTATATTCTTTCACTTTGATTTTGCACACAGAGCAGCTTCAAGGTTCAAGAGTTGCATTTGGATCAATTTGTGTCTTTGTGCAAAGATGTGGACTGCCAGTGATTTGGTGGTTGAGATTGGGTCCATTGCTAGCCTCCTAGAGACTAGGCTGAAGGCTTTCAGTGCTGGGAGCCAAAAAGGGAAGGAGTTTGAGGATGGAACCATCAAGAACTTTTGCAACAAGGTCAAAAGCTTGCCAAGTTTGACCATGGCTGATGCAACACAGCTGTATGGTGCTGTCAGTTCATCATGCTTGTCAAATGATCAGCAAAGAGCTGTCAATGATTGTGTTGATGAGAAGTTGAGTAACCCATCCTCAGCTTCTCATCCATCACCAAGTGGCCCTTTGACACCCCAATTGGTCGAGCACTTGTGGAACTTTTTGACCATTGCTGAATGGGAACAGGTGAAAGACAAAAACCTTTCTTTGGTTGCAAAAAGCAATGTGATTGCTAAGCGCTTGAGGCTTTTGGGTGTGAAAAGCTTACATGAGCAAACAACTGGCAGGGCAGTTGCAATTTTGATCAGTGAGCTCACCACCATGCCAGAGTACAAGGTAATCCATCAAATGGTTGATGAGCTCAAGAGCATTTTCCACAAGAATGACACCAAACCAGCACCCTTTTTTGTGAAGAAGTTCCCAGAGAAGCCTGAGCAGCTGACTGACATGCATTTTCAGCATGCATATGGGGATGCTGAAGGGGAGAACAAGCCTATTCAAGACCTCAATCCACAAATGCTTCAGCATTTGGTTGCCAAACATATTCCTTTGAGGAAGCTGCTGAGGGATGCAGCTAAATCCAGTGCCACAGCTTCAAGCTCAAAAGATACTGCACCATCCCATGAAGCTGCAACACACTCTTTTGCAGCTGCTTCACAATTCAAGCAGATGGAGATGTTCTACAACTTCATG